GTACATTTTCTCGTCCTCCCCATTTTTAATGTCAAGAGTCTCAACTTCATTGGTTTTTCCCATTCTATTCCTGTGTACTCTGATCACCATCCCACCTTGTCGGAGAAAACTCTGTCTTGACCAATAACTCTGGCTGGTCCCCTCCATTCTTCTTTACCTGGGAACTTGTAGTATACTTTCTCTCCCATACTGTATGTTCCCTCCATAGGCCTCACTTTTACTTTCAGAGCTTTGCGTATCCTATTGTCACACTCTGCTTCAGTGAAAGCTTTCTTAGCAGAATGCAATACTCGGATATGATTCCAAACAGTTGTACTGGATGCTAGTCCTTCCAATGCTGGGGGATTATTGGTCAAGTTTGATGGAAGGTTTGGATTCCTACCATAGACAAGTTGATATGCACTGAAGCCATGAATGTTGCTGACAATGCCCAGCTCAATGCTATTTCCCACTTACAATTTTCTTGCTTTTTTATTTTGTTTAGTGTAAGTGTCAATGTTTGGTTGTGCCTCTCAACTGTTCCATTAAGTAAGCAGGTGTTGTAATCACTTCCACATTGAAGTTTTGACATATATCATGCATCTGTTGATTGTTGAACTCTCGTTCATTATCTGTGAGTATCTTCATAGGTGCTCCATGAATGGCAATCCAGTGTTATAGAAATTTATCCACAGTTATTTCTGCAGTCTTATTCTTGATTACTGCTGCTGCACTGAATCTTGTAAACATGTCTATCATGTGAATATACCACATGTTTTGGTCAAGTTGATGAAGGACCATTGCAACCACTTCATTAAAGTCTGACGCCATGGGAAGTCCAGCAACTGGCTTTGCCGGTGTCTTTTTATGTTTGTTACATACATCACAACTGGCCACAATCTTCTCAATAATTTCAGCTTTCACTTCAGTACTGTTTCCTGAACGCTGCATTGACCATTGTAGATTTTTTACCGAAGCATGACCAAATTGTTTATGCAACTTGTGTACAATTGTGAAAATCTCCTTTTCAGAAGCACCATCCTTCAACCACATCACCTCATCAGACCCATGCTCTATATCCCCTGTCAAGGCAACACAGTAATGTCCACTTGATGGCATTTCTACATTGACTGCTTCTCCAAACATCATAGGTTTATCATTGTCTATGTCAATAATGGCTTTAGTTTTCTTAAGGGCTGGCTTTCCAAAAAATAATGGAATGTTGGCATCCACAATCTGTTTCAATCTGACACTAAGTTGTCCCAATCACTGCTGGCATTACAGCTGTGCATGACGATATATGCCTCTGTCCATCTCCAAACTTGAAGCTTTTAGTAGATTCTTTCTCTTGAGCCACAGTTTTCTTATCCTCATTCAAGGAGTTAACGTAATGTTCATACCATTTCTTACCACAAACTGATCTTGTACATGCAGTGTCAATAACTGCACAACCCTGCGCTTCAACCATCAAGACACTATAATCTCTTGTGATCAGTGCTATGTTTTCCTCTGATTCAGTGTAGTTCACATTCTCTTTATCTTTATCTGGACAATCTTTTTACCCCAATGGAATGTAGAGAAACAGTGTGCACATCTGGTCCTCCAGGATAGAACTTTTGCTCAGACCCTGGTTTCTGTTGCTTGTTGAAAAATCTGGGACGTCTATTTATCATTTCTGTCATGATTTGTCCAAAATATCCTGTCTTGTTTTATTTCTGTGGAGTCCACAGTTTCAGTTCCAAAAATTCGTCTCAAGGATGATTTCATTGTTTGAAATCGTTTATCCACTGTGGCCGTCAAAACTAGCTGTTTTTCCTTTTGATTCAGATTGACACTATCCAAAAGTTTGAAAGTGCATCTGGTAGCTGCATGTCGTATTTGACACACTTTTTGTACTTTCTTTCATAGCTAATATTGATGAAATCACTCATAGACTCAGTTTTTCTTGTGAGACTAAAAAAATTCTGAGAAAGCTATATACGCTGCATATACACTGTCTATTAGGTCCAACTTATCCAACTCTTTTAGACATTAGTCCAATCCATCCTTCTTATTTAATTCATCGACTGGGATTTGTAAGATAGTCTCTTTTGCCTTACCTTTCAGCACTTGAACTAGCGCCAGACCCTTCTTTTCATCCGGTAGCTCCGTGAACAGTCGCCAAACCTCTATTTCATTTTTCCATGTATCATAGATACTATCCTGGTCCAGCGATGGCGGTTACAACAATTTCTGTGCCATATTTACCCACACACTCTGCTACCATTGACACACAACACAATTCTGGTGGTTAAACTTCTTCTTTTTAATCTTCCAATCTCGAACGTGGTTTCCCACACTTCCACGGCGCACTGACCCCCGAAACAAATATGGCTTCCTCTCGCATACTCTCACTCACTTCTTGTGATAGTTGAGACAGTCTCAAAACGATTTACATTGTTCACCATAAAGACCCATCAGTCTTGATCAAATTCAGTTCTTCTGTGTTGGGTACACAGCCATGTTCATCACTGATTTGTCAAGACTTTTGCCACTCACTACTTTTCTATTTGTACTGTGGTAAACAACAGTTATCTCATATAATCTCGGACAAACCTGTAGAAGTTGCAGATTCTTTGAAGAGAGTCCTGCTTGGGGCACATATAAGCATTTGACTGCTTCTGTGGTGTAGTGGTTAGGGTGTCCGCCCGGAGAGCGGAAGGTCGCGGGTTTATCCCCGATCGCGTCATACTAAGAGACGTTAAAATATTGTACTTGTTGGTCCCTGCCTGGCGCTCGACATTAATTGGTACAACAAGGACTGGTCGGTTCCGAGTCAGTATAATGTGTCTGAGTGAGGTATTCAAGCTTCACTGCAGCATGGTATCTCAGTGGGCTAGCACTATAAAACCAGCTTAAGTCTGGGCTAGTACAAGCAGCCGCACATACGCACGCATGCGCATGTGCGGCTGCTTGTACTAGCCCAGACTTAAGCTGGTTTTATAGTGCTAGCCCACTGAGATACCATGCTGCAGTGAAGCTTGAAGGAAGTCTTATGAGCGAAATATCCTCAAGCACGACGCAAAACCCAATTTCGCATCACATCACATATAAGCATTTAAATGTCCATTTTAAATTCCTATGACAGTTGTAACTATATTTTGAATAAAAGTTTTACAAAACAAAAAATACACTTTTTGGTCTTGTTCGACCACCCCTGCAGGTACCAGTAAATGGAGGTCTCCAAGAGAAATTCAACGAGTGCAGATATGTCAAACGTAATACCAATGCGGGAAACCAAACCACCACCAAGAACACAAGTCCAGGGGGAGGAAAGTATTAATACACATCACCAGTATACTGAAGCATTTAAAAGTATTCTCAAAAGCTCAATCAGCTAGAGAGTTAACGACTCTGCCCAGTGTTGAGAACTGACTCGCATGCTCGCAGGAGTGTCTGTCAAGTTGGTAATGACGGATGAACGTGCACAGCTGGCTCCAAATAGTCACAGAGCAGATCTCCTTAATGGACAGGGCCACAGCATATGCCTTGGAGGTGGCTAGCCCAATGATCTTTCAAACCCTTTTTCAAGCCTTCAGATTCTTAGGACGGTAAGAATCTGGCAGCTGAATGCTGACTCTGTCCTTATGAAAAACAGTTAGCTCATTGCCTGAATGTTACCTACCCATCTACCAGACATTACCACAAAAAGAAATGCCAACTTCCACATCAACAACTGGAGGATAAGAGGCAACAGATTGTGAAACAGAGGACCTGACAGCCAATCAGGAATGACTGAGAAGTCCCATGTGGGACTAATCCGGCGGACAGCCAGACGGATCCTATCCACGCCTGCTAGAAAGCGCTGTACAAGAGGGTGCTGCCCCAAAAGGACAACATCGAGATTTATATGAAACACTAAGATAGCCATGGAGTAACCTTGAACAGTAGAAGCGGTGAGATCAGCTTCTTATCTGACTGAAGGACCTCCAAAACTACGACTAAATCCCCAGAAAAGGGATGAAGAATCCCCCTGTCGAGACACCAGCACGCATATCCCATCTATTCTCATACTGAAGTTTGTTGAATACCTCAATGAAGCCGAAATTTTGACATGTCTCCATCCTAAAAGACAACACCTTTATCATGTTATTCAGTCCTTCAGATTTAAAATGGGTCTGAACCCTCTGCCCTTTTTGGTCACTAGGAGTAAGTGGAATGAAATCCCTTGTTTTCCTGACCGTTTGGAACCACCTTGATGGCTCCCTTGTCCAGCAATGACTGCGCCTCGGCACTGAAAATGTCTGCCTTTTCTTGAGAGGCTGGCACTGGTGTGCGGCACACTCCGAAAATGGACGTTGGACTCGCCTCCATGTGGCCATCCCTGAGTGAGGAAAGGATACACAATTTTGAGGTGGCTTTCTCCCATTCCCAAAGGAATATGGACAGACAGCCGCCGACAGGGACATCTGGCAAGAAGCAGTGAACACACACTGCTCCTGCTTGAGCTGGAGTCACCAAGGGTCCTTGGTGCCTTTCTTAGTCTGTAATGGAGCAGTCCATTTAGCCGACGCCAAAGGATAAGAAGCAGCAAGAACCAAGGGCTGCTGGCGAGATGTGGTGGGTCTTAGAGTCCTAAAGGTGCTAACTGCCTCTAATTCTACCTTCTAAGCCCCAGGGAGGAGGGTAGAACCCAAATTCTAGGGCAAGACAGCCACAACTAATGCAGGCCCTCAACGGCGCACATCAACTGGATGGGACAGCTAGGAATGCTGTCCAGAGCCAAGTGTGAATGCACATCTGTCAGCTGCCACGCGAGCGTAGGTGATGATTCGTCATCACCGCTCTGACGTTGGTCCACCAGCTCTCCCTGCAAGGCAGAGAGATACGCTAAGAGGACCACCACCTTTAGCTGCTGTACCGCTTTATGGTACTGCTCCTCAATTCCTTTATTCAAAATATTGTCGTAAGAAATTTAAAAAGGGCATTTAAATGCTAAAAGGTACCCCAAGAAGGACCTCTTCTGAAAAAGAATACCTCACCTGTTGTTTAGTCATAGTCTTGAGTGCTTCATCGAATATGGGCCTGGTCATTGTACTATTCTGGTACTCATCTTCCAACATGGATTTTGCTTGGTCAAGATGATCCATGCTATCCGAGAAGAAGTAGAGGGTCATATAATTCACTGGCTGTTCTTTTGGCAGTGCAAAATGTTTAGTCTTCTCAGGAGATCCTCCCCAAACATACTCTGTAAATCAAAAGTGAAATACCAACATTGCCAGCTTCAACAATTTAATCATACATTCATGATAAGACAATCATGCATTTATGATCAGAGTGAGTACATGAGTTGGGCTCTACACCGCTTTTAGCAATATTCTGGCAATATCACGGCAGGGGATACAAGACATGGGCTTCACACATTTACCCATGTGGGGAATTTAACCTGTGTCTTTGACATGAAGAACTAAAGCTTGAGCCACTTGGCTACCCAATCACCTCGATTAGACTGACTGACTGACTGAGTTTAGTTTTACGCCGCTTTTAGCAATATTCCAGCAATATCACGGCGGGGAACACCAGAAATGGGCTTAACACATTGTGCCCATGTGGGGAATCGAACCCGGGTCTTCGGCGTGACGAGCCAACGCTTGAACCACTAGGCTACCCCACCGCCCCACCTCGATTAGAAGAACATAACCTCACACAACAGCCATACCATGATCACCCTAGGAACTTGCAAGGTTTCATTAAGTAATCTCTAGCCCAATTAAAAGACTCTATTCTTAAAGAGTCTAAGTCAGTCCTGTATGTTTCAATGGAAATGAGAAAATGGAAATCCTGAATAGTAAAAGGTTTGTACATGTTTGTTTTAGAATCCAATACTCAACAATATTCCTGACATATGATAATGACTGAGTGTATAATCCTGTCACTGATATTATTAACAATGTCCAACATACAACATCAAACCATGTTGACATGCAATCAACAAAGTGACAGGTCCTAACAAACCAATCAGTTTAGTCTTACAACCAGGGTGCCATTGTACAAAGTGATGTTAGAGCTAAGACTGCTCTGTACACAGCATACCAATATCACCGATGACTGTACACCTGGAATATGCAGATGAGCCACAACAAAAGAGAGGGTTCACAAGCAAGTTCACACAGTCAGAAGCGAGTGTGTCCAACTTCTGTACTGATCCACATCTGGCACCTTTCACCTCATTGGGCTACTAAACATTGATGAAAACCTTGGGGGAGATCATTACATATACAAGAAAGGATTTAGCAGAGTCCCTGCCTCATTGTTGGAGGGTTCCGATGACGCCATAAATGTTGTTCCACTCTATGCCAGACATCCTGCTGTCAGCTCTGTGAAGACAGTAACGTGCCTCATCAGTAAAGAGGACTCCACTCCACTCATGTGCTCCCCACTGGAAGTCCTGACCACTAGACTGGAAATTGGCCATTGAGCTGGGCATCCTCCAACGATGCCATAGATATCAACAAATTGTTCCTGCAAACACATCTCTGTAGCCAGGTATAATTGCTAGGTGGAACCTGTGTCTGAGTTGTGTGGTTTGAATCCATCAGTCTTGACATGGGGCTGTAACTGGTGGGCGGTCATTATTGGGACTGTCTATATGGCTTGATTGGTTTGCTGAAAATGTTGCTATGAGTGCCAAATGGTGGATGTTGAATCGATGAAATAGGTTGTGTTGCTATGTACCAGACTAAAGTATACGCATAGTTCTCATCTGTGATTTACGCCCCGGAGGCATGCAATGTTGAACTTGTTCCAGAATAATGGATGTTTTTCTTACTTTTGCACTTGCTAAATGGAAATGATAAGTGTCTGGTTTTGCCTGGCCTGTTAAATTGGAAATTTTAACTATAAATTGTATATTTATCTCAAAATATCTCAAGATTGTTAACTATTATGTCAGAAAGGAAAAAATTCACATTTCAGAGTTGTGGCCCTTTTTTTTGCTAAGGCCAGACCAATTTTATTTCTTGTTTAACGGATCTGTCGGTCGTATTTTTTCAAGAATAAAAAAACCCAAAAAAACAAATTTCCCCGCTCAAAAAATAAAATCCTAATGTTTTTATCGGTCAAAAATGTAAACTTACAAGAATTTTTTTTTATTTTATTGTTTTTTGCCCCATATATACTTCACAAATTACCAAAAGTAAAATACTTTTAATATTTAGAAGGAATATTACTTTGACTGGTGATCTTATTTTATTTTTCTTCCCCTCAATGCTTCTGCCTTTAGGTTATCTGAGGACAAAATCAGCCCAAAACAAGAAATACAATTGGTCTGGCCTAAAACAGAATGTTTATATGTTTTACCATTAGATGACACAAAGACCTATAGGTATAATGATAAGGCTTAGATATGTCCAAAAGCCCTTGAAGTGTGTTGTTCAATGTCTTTTTCACCACAAACCACCAAATATAACTTAATAAAATCATATTTTCACATTTTGACCGAAACTGAAAATTTGCAATTTTTTGGCAGTTTTAGAAGTCAATGAAAACTCAATAAATGGCCCAACAATTGCAATAATTTGATTTTTTACACCCCAAAATAAAGCAAGTGTAATTTCATAATTTTTTCTAAGATGCCTAGCGGTTAGAACAATCGAAAAAAAAAACCAAAACATTATCAGACAATAAAGGTATAGTTTTTTGATGACGTAACAATTGAATGACGTTATCCCGCTGCCCCCTCGTAGTCACGTGTGTCCATGGTAACATTTGATCCATCTGGTCCCGGTTGTATCAAACTTTAATAAAGCTTTAATCGTTAATTAAACTATGATTAGTTAATCACTGATTATCTTCAGTTGCATGAAGTCCTTTATAAAGGAATCCCTTCATTAATCCATCATTAAGCTAATGATGGTTTGGGGGTATCATTAACTCATCATTAGCTGTATCAACATGGCAGACGACATAATGTACCATCAACTTCGACGTCGGAGAAAAGAAAAACATTTTCGTGAACGGATTAATTAAACCCCACCGGGTGCCACAGGGACATATATGTCCTTCCTCTTTAACCCTCACTTTGAAGTTCAATAAAATTCTAAATATATCACATATATATATATACAAATATACTTCACAGTTTTGAATTCTGCGGGAAATTCACTGTTTCTTGATACCATCCACTATTAAATCAGACAAAACTAAAGTGCTTAAAATAACCTTTCAAAATGGACTTCGTCATGTTGCCATTTTTGACACAATATGTAATCGCGATTCACAGAGTTATTTGCTGTAAGTTTTGAAATGTGAAAATTTGACAATTACTGGGAATATAGAATTTCAAAAATAGCATAGTAATGATCACTGATATCAGTTTTTCATAAAATCACTAATGATAATTCTGAAACGTTGCCGATGAACCAAGAATCGGTTGGGATGTTTTCGAAAATACACTTACACAAACGCCGAAGTGCGTTTTCCGCCATATTGGATACCGTTTACAAAATCACGTTTCGCGAAGGCCGGTATTGAAACACCAATTACATCACGTATATTTCATATTCAGCTGCGAGAAATACACCAGTGAATTCCCTATACATTTTGGAATCAAATGGTCTTTGTCACCAATTCCAACTGTCTAGATGAAATGAATGGAAAGATATTGGGGTGAAAACGAACATTGTACTCGAAAGATTGCACTTGTTTGAAATGTAAACAAAGAAAACATCCGATTTTACACTGCGTAGCATTTTCTGGAATTGTCCGACATCCAGCCGTCCATTTTAGGCTTGCAATGGCTCAATATCTTTAGAATATGCATGGAAAGAGTATCGTGCCAAGAAACAGGAAATTAAAAACAGATACAATGCAATGATTTGATAATTCATAAGAATTTATCAAGGTTTCCATGCAGCGTGACGCCATGACTGATGCAAAATAACACAGAACGACAACGGTAATTATCAGCATTTCTGGCTTCTTCTCTTATTTATCCAATGAAAACTATAAAAACATATAACAATACACAGAGAGTCAGAATAATTCTGATAACTTACATCACATATTTATGTACAAATGATCCCTGAATCAAGGGAAGAGTCCTCGCCAAATCCTGTGTACCCTTGTCAGCGAAGTCGCCATTTTGTAAGAAATCGGTCAGCAATAGTGATGTCATACGTCAACCTTGTTGCACATATTAGGCAATTTCTTTGAGGTGAAGGTCGGCTGAACAAGAGTAAACACAATCGCCCTATCCTTCCGATTACACTGTCAGTATTATGATGTGTATTTTGCGTATAGTTCAGATACTTTTTCATGAAACTAACTTCAGTATCTACATTTAGTTTTGTTTAATATCATATCATACGTGGATATAGGGTATACATTCTATATTTTTTTAACGTTTTTGATTGTTTGAATAATATTTACATAAGAAATTGACACATTTAGTGTAGTAGACCATATTCTGTCTGAAAACACTTTATATTTGCATTTTGAAACATGTTGTTCCATTTTGTATTGATTTCTTTGGACGTTCTATTGCTTACCCCAATGCTATTGAGCTCAGACGTTATTTTGTCCCATATGTGGTTCTTTTTGTCATTAGTAATGGAGTTAGTCAGTTTGCTGTTTAACACACTGACATGATCTTCAACTAGACCTGTATTTCACAACTTTCAAAGTTTTTACTGCGATTTCTGACGGCAGTCATTATGCAGACTATAGATGAGTGTTTACCTGCAATGCATCATGGATAATAATTAGGATTCCCCCTAAGTTAATCATGGTTTAATGACGGGACCTTTGTTAGAGGCATACTTAGTTAATGGGTGTTTAAATAAGGGTTTATACAACCGTATTTAAACACTTCATTAACTAATCAAACATTAAGAATTTAATCAATGATTAGTGTTTAATTGATGATTACATAATTACGCGTTGATACAACTGGGTCCTGTTCTGTAAATCAACATGGCGCATCCATATCACCTATCTCTTGGCGATGATGTTTCTTTCAACGGAGAACTATGTCGAGTTGTTCAAATTCAAATTCAAATTCTTTTATTCTGTATAAAGGCCATAGGCCCAAGTACAAAAAACTCACAAAATAATAATGCAAGTGACAAAATGGTTAGATACACATTTTAAGCACTTCTTAACCTTAAAGCTTCTTTTACAAATTTTGCTAAGTTAATTAGGATATTCACTTTGTCACAACTTAATAACATGTTAAACTTATAAATAGAGGGATATTTCCAGACATTTTCAGGAATATACTTTTGTCTTAAAATGGAATAAACTTTACATATTAACAGAAAATGGTATTCATCTTCTATACATCCATTCATACATAAATTACAAAATCGTTCATTGCGACCAATACCACAACGCGTCTACCAACATTTATCATTAAAGGCAATTCCCAGATCTTAGCAAAATAAAAGCCTTCTATATTCGCGATTCTTTAGAGTGGATAAATAATATTCAACTGTCACTAGAGATTTATATTCTTGATAGAAACATAACTTATTTGATTCACAAACTTTAGAGAACCAATCTTGTTGGTGGCAATCTTTAACCCTTTGCACAAACTTACTAAGAAATAAAGAGCAATTACCAACTTCCTGAGAGATCCAAACAAATCCAAAACCATAAGAGAACAGTAATATTTTAACCTTTGAAGCCCATGTAACACGATTGCAGTCGTCTGTAAGGATTTACACAGAAGATAGCATTGCTTAGGATATCTATGATTAGGCATTGATAGCAACTTTAACCAATACTGAATACATCTTTTATGACAATCGACAACATGGCCATATCTACCCCATTCACCAAGTGCAGCAACATTAGAGACATAACTACCTACACCAATAACATATTTACAAAACTTAACATGAAAACGCTCGATGCATTCACACTTTGAATGACCCCACACTTCACTAGAATAGAGAGTAAAGATTGGCTTAATCTAGGCATCAAATATCTTGAATAAAACTAAAGAAGAAATATTCTGAAACTTACGCTCTAATTGTTTAACGGATACTAGGGCTTTTGATGCTTTTGAACAAGAACTTCAATACCTTTTGACCAACATAACCTGTTAGAAAACGTTAACCCAAGATAATTATAATAGGTCGATGTCTTAATAGTTTTATTGCCAAACATCCATTTTCAGAAAACCGTAACTTGCCACCATTTCTTTAAAAACTAAAATTTCAGTCTTATCTAAATTGACATCCAAACCCATTTGATACTAAACTGCTCCAATACATCTATTTTTCTCTTTAGACCAATCACACTATCATCAAACAAACACAGATCATCAGCATAAAATAAAGATAAAATATCACAAACTGCTTGACCAACAAATGTACCTCGGACATTCGATTCCTGTAACATAGTTTCCAACTCAACAACAAAGAGAGAACAACAAAGGACTTAAAATACATAATTCCTGTTTTACGCCACTTAAAGTATCAAAATAATGAGAAATGGAACTATTTGATAGTTTAACAGCAGATTTAACTTTGGAGTACATGTCCAATAATACTGTAAATATTCTACCATGAATACCTTTATTTAAAACTGAGAACCACAATAATTTACGATTAATGGAATCAAATGCCTTTCTGAAATCAACGAATAAACAATAAAACGACCATTAGTTTTCAGAGATATACTTTTGGACCAGACACTGTAAACTGAAAATATTATCAACAGTGCTATATCCAGCACGGAACCCAGCCTGAGACTCAGGAATCTTGTCATACTGATGACAAAAACTTGTCAACCTCTTGTTTAATATAAACGTAAATAATTTCCCCATGACATCACTAAGCGTTATCCTCTATAATTATTAACCTCTGTCTTCTTGCCTTTCTTGTGAAGCGGTATAACCAGTCCTTTAGCCCATTCTATGGGGAAATTACCACTGTTCAAAATATTATTAAACAATGCATGAAAAAATGGCAATAGTTCAGTTTACAACATTTTATCATTTCTGGAGTTACTGCATCAGGACCAGGAGCTACCGTCCTTCAGATTGTCACCAATGGCATCAACAATTTCATTATGCTTGATTTCACAGTTCAGAGTATTATTAATGGTATCACTATTGCAGGCACAGCAATTATGTTCATCGTGATTTTCAAGAAATGTACTGGCTTCTCTGACATGGTCTTGATCCGTATTCTCATCACTTATATTCATAATTTTTCAGTAATCGACCCACTGTGTTGCCGATATAGAGTTGATATCAGTTGATTTATCCGTTGTTAGGCGTTTAACTTGGCTCCAAAACGACTTTGAGTTCTTAGAATTAGACGATAATAGGTTCACCATATTTTCCTCATAATTTTCCTTTTTGGTGCGACATAGCTGATATGAGTTTCGTAGACGTCAAAATTCTGACCAGAAATGTAGCTCCCCAGTTGATCTAAAACAATCTAAGTTAGTATATTTCAGCTGCTTCAGGTTTCTACATTCTTCGTCATACCAGCTGGCGTTGTAGGGCTTGTTTGGTGAAAAGTTTCCAAAGCATCGCATGTTACATCTATCTGCGCACGATGTTATACATGCTGTTAACTTATGTGCCGCGTCATTCACATCCTCAATGACGTCATTTGTAAAGTTCTCGAGTCCACATATGATGCCAGGGCAGTATTTTAAGTGTTCAACAAAGAATGGTTTCCTGTTCTTCTTTCCACCTATATCTTAACAAGCGTTGCACACTTCTGTCACTGTCCCGTCACATCTGTGGGGAGTAGGTGGTATACACAAGGTAAGTACGATGGGTAGGTGGTCAGATTCACAACGAGTTTCTACAATGAAGTCATGATCCATGTCAAATATAGCAGTTGAACATAAGCAATATTCCACCATACTGGAGCCATTGTGAGAAAAACAAGTCATGTCACCCCGAGGGTCAGATCTACTTCGCCCATTTATCATGTGTATGTTGTGAGCGCAACACAAATCTATCAGATCTCGTCCATATGAATTTATAATATTGTCGACATTATTCCTGGGATGGTGAAAATTGTCAGCATTATATTCCATATCTTCCAAACTAGGTATATGTTGGTTGTCATCGTGAATGATGAAATCTCTAAGGTCTCCCGTCCTTGAATTAAAATCCCCCATCAAAATGAAACGAATATCTGAAACGTCTATATCTGATATACATGACAACAAACATTGCTCTAAATAGTCAATTCCTTTTAGTGGTCTTGGATCACTTTTGATTGAGGAGTTAACCGGGTTGATATAAACAACGTGATGCGATGTTCCATATAAAGATTTATAAAATAATACAAAGATGCAATCAATGAAACTATTCCAAACCTTCTTTATATGTTCACTTGCGGTTTGCTTGACACATATAGCTACACCACCTGTTGTTGAATGTCCTTTGATTGATATATACAACATGATTTCTATATGTTGATGTGATATTTTTAAGAGTGACATTATTCCAAATTTCCACAAATCCAATTACATCAAAGTTTAAACAATAGCTGAGAAAATCACCATCTTGCAGTTTATGCACAAGTCCATGCACATTCCAAGATGTAAATCTCATACACGAACCAGAGTTGTCGTCAGCTGGTGACTGTTGGGCCGGGCCACCCTGCTAGGCGTGCGTGTTGTCGATTTCAAGTGCATGCGTTTCACTCTCAATGCCTGCCTTTCTCCCCCGTTTTACCGTGATGACAACATCTGACGTCACATCGTAAGTGTAAACATTGTCCTCAATATATAATTTATCAAAACGCAATTGTGCCTTACGATCATTTTCCCTGGCCTTGATCATAAACGGAATCAGTTTCTTACGTTTTTGACGGACAAGTTGTGAGAAATCTCCAGTAATAAACACATCTCTGTTTGACTCTTTCAACACTTTAGATGCTTTCAGTATAGAGTGTTTATCCTTATCGTCGCCGACTTTGACTATAATAGCCTTTCCTTTCATGATGCGGTATGTGCTCTGTGGCATGTTAATGTCAGTAAGTTTAAGATCATCAGGTAAGATTGTATTCACAATATTTTCACAATCTGTCCACGATTCACCGGGTTTGGATTTTGAACACCATGAAATATTAGGTTATGGATCTTCTGCTCTGGTTCTCAAGAATAATCTATTCTTTCATCCATCGATTTGGATTATCCCTTTAAGTTCCGTGTTTTTCTTCCTCCAACGCAAAACAACGTTGATTTGTTTCATTAACTTGATCAGACACGTTTTTCAAGGTATCTTCAATGACAGTTAATTTATCCACAACGCCATCATTGGAGCGTTGAACTGTGCCTGAATTTTGCGAGATATCAAACGGACTTCGTCAATCAACGACGGTTGTAACACTTTATCACTTGCAATGTTGTTGTTAATTTCGCTTGCATTTATCTTTTGCTCCGGTTGATGAGGATCTTGTGGCAACGCCGTCAGTTCTTGGTGTCTGGCCCGGGATTGTTTAAATAAGGGTTTATACCACACCGTATTTAAACACTTCAGCTAATCAAACATTGGAACTTAATCAATGATTAGTGTTTAATTGATGATTACATAATTACGCGTTGATACAACTGGGTCCTGTTCTGTAAATCAACATGGCGCATCCATATCACCTATCTCTTGGCGATGATGTTTCTTTCAACGGAGAACTATGTCGAGTTGTTGAGTTCCATTTACCAGGAAGAAATATGGCGAGGAAGTTCATTATTGAAAACCTGAGAACTGGGTGTCGTAGGAGTATTTATAAACACGAACTTGACTTCGATGACAGTGACGATGATATGTTACTTAGCATTCCTGAAATGACACCTGCGTTTGATGAACCAGAGCCAAATATACCTGCCTAGGATATAACAAGGTTTGTAAGTGCAGACGAGAGCAGGCTACAACAACTGGCTAAAAGTAGGAATGAAACAGAGAACAGCACTAAACGGTGTTAAAGATATTTAGAGTTACGGACAAATGTGAATATTTCAGCAGCCTATGATTTATATAAACAGTCAGTAAATGAACACCTAAATCATTTTATCATCATGAAAACAACAATTTGTGTAATTTAATGAAACAATATAGAAATAGATTAGAAACCTATATTTTGACCACTAAAGAGTTTAAAGAGGAAACTTACCTGTAGCTAAGATTTATATTCTGACTTCCCAACCAGTAATATCCAATCATAGAAATGACACAAACACAATATATTTTCCAGATTGGCTTCAGAGCAACAGCCCTTGGAATTTGAGATGTGACCCGTTGTTGAACTCAATGATGTAACCTGTTGATGAGGACAGCCAAGATGTCACCAGTTTCACGGTTCCGTCAGGTAAAAGTTATAAATGGCTCATTATGCCCATGGGCTTGGTTTCTGCAACTAGCTCGTTTGCATATCTTATGTCAAACCTGTTCTCTTCTATGGCATTCAAATTCACCTTGGTATACTTGGATGACATATTGGTGTATAGTAAGACATTTGAAGAACATTTAGAACATCTGAAGGCAGTATTTGATAAGCTGAGGGAGGCTAACTTGAAGCTGAAGCCCTCAAAATGCAAATTTGCTTTAAGGTAGGTTGCCTTTCTGGGACATGTGATAACTAAGGAGGGTATCAAGACCGATCCCAATAAGATTGAAGCTGTGAAATCCTTTCCCAAACCTAAGAATGTAGGAGAGTTGAGAAGCTTTTTGGGTTTGTGTGAATTTTACAGAAAGTTTGTTAAGGACTATGCCCACATAGTGTCTCCCCTGAATACACTACTTGGTAAAGACATACCATTTGTTTGGTCAGAGGAGGTTGACAAGGCGTTTCAGACCTTACGAGAAGCAGTGATATCTTCTCCCATCCTGGCTTTCCCAGATTTTAACAAACCCTTCATACTGTACACTGAGAGTAGTGCTTTTTGCAATTGAGTTTGTACTTGGCCAACACGACTCTGAAGGCCGAGAGTAATAGCATATGGTGGAAAGAGCCTGAACAAGACACAACGCCAATACCACATCACAATGAAGGAATGCTTGGCATTGGCGACTGGTGTCAAACATTTCCACTTATATCTTGCTCCAAATAAGCTTCAGGTTATCACTGATCATGCTGCCTTGAAATACCTGAAGGATATTAAGGACCCTACAGGTAAAAAAGCCAGGTGGTCATTGCTGCTTACTCAGTATGACTATGAGGTGATCTACCGTCATGGTGAAAAGCATGGCAATGCAGATGCCTTGAGTAGAAGGGAGTATGATCCCTCTCCTGCAAATGACTATGACGACATTGAAGATGAGGACTGGATATTGTCATTGTCAGATAATGACAATCGACAAGAGAAAGCAGTCACAACAGTGTCATCGGTCTCTCCTATGACTCACATGGAGAAGACTGGTCTGACAACAACTAAGTTGCGTAGTCTACAGTTGGCTGATGAGAAGTTCAGACGCATTATTGATTATCTCGTATCAGATGTGTTGCCAGATGATGATGAGACCGCTGATGACTTTCTCATGAAGGATGGTATTCTTTATCATCTCTATGCTCCAAGGGGGAAAGTTTCTAGGGAACTTCGCTATGTGAAACAACTTGCCATGCCTCAGGAATTGTATGAAACAATTTTGCATGCTTATCATGATAACTTACTAGCATCTCATATGGGTGTGGAAAGATGCTATGCCTTTATCAGACAGAGATATTTTGGGTATGGCATGTATGTGAGGATACGTGCTTGGGTGGCTTCTTGTGTGGATTGCCAGTCAGCAAAGAGATATATCCACGCCAAGCCAGCACCTTTACAACCTCTACCAGTGGTAGATGTTTTTCAGAGGTGGCATGTCGACCTGATAGGTCCATTGAAGGAATCTTCTGAGGGATTCAAATACATCATGCTTTGCATTGATGCAGCTACTAAATGGCCTGAATGCTTTCCATTGAAAAGCAAGGAGTCATTTGAAGTGGCCAGAGTGATATATGATCAAGTCATTAGCAGATACTCATGTCCACAGAGTATACTCACTGACAGAGGGAAGGAGTTTACCTCCAAACTGTTGAATGAGCGAGGTGTGCCGATTGTTGGATATAGGCAGATTGAAAACTAGCCCCTTCCATCCTGAAACAAAAAGTCCATGCTGAACTCATGAATAGTGTTATTGGTCAAACACTCAGGATTTATGGTGATAAGAAACAAGAAAAATGTCCAAAGCTGTTGCCTAGAATTCTAGCTGGTTACAGAATGAGCCCTGCGGTTAGCTCAACAGGTTTCTCTCCATATTTTATGGTGTTTGGGATGGAAACAAGGTTACCAATTGACAATGTGTTGGAACCTCACAAGACTGGTTTTCCTGTTCAAACTCATACTGATTTAAGACAGTTACTGAGCAATATTGAGATTACCAGAGAGATTGCTCAGGAGAATGTGAAGGTTGCTCAAGAGGTATACAAACAACAATTTGACAAGAAGTCAGCAGAGCCTCCATATCGTGTTGGAGTCACAGTTTGGCTCTACTGTTCAAAAGTGCCAAAAGGGTTTAGCAGAAAACTCTATAAATCTTGGCAGGGACCTTTCTATGTGGTATGGAAATATCCATCTCACACATTTCAGTTACGCAGATGTGGTGATGATAAGCCTATCAGATCACCCATTCATGCAAACAGACTGAAACCATACTTCAGTCCAGATGCTCGGCCTTTGGCAACTCCGATGGATTTATCTGATGATGAGGAGCTAGACCCTGAGATGATTCCTGATGAAGAGGTCATCATGTGGAAACAGGATACAGGTAACTTGTTTGAGTGGCATTTTAGAAGTTGAGACGTACAATATATAACAAGTTTTATGGATAACAACTTCTTTATTTTCGTGAGTGCGACGTTTCGATACAGATTCTTGTACCGTTGTCAAGCAAGAGTGATACATGAAGTGTAGGAGCTGCATATATATACTGTATATAACAATGAAACAACATAATAGACAAAGGAAACAACATAATTGCCATGATTGGCTAAGCAGTAAGCTGATGAAGCCAGTAAGTACATAAAGGATAGTGAATGGAAGCCAGAGATGTAGTTACAATGAGATGTTTATACAATGGATGCGATGTTTATACAATAGACTGGGCTTGGTGGAGGAGTGGATCATAAGCAGATGGAATGGAGTATCCTTGAATGCGGTTGATGGTAGGCTTGTGGCGTTTGATGTGAATGGCTTCTGTGAGCTTGCGTTTAGTGAAGTCCGTTTTGGTTGTTGGCGAGAATGGTGATGTCGGACCACTCTATTTGATGATTGGGGTTGGCTTTGACGCGTGGTCAGAGATAGCTGATTTGGTGTCGGAATTAGCAACAGAGGTGCGATGTTCTTTTGACTCGGGTGTTGATGGGTCGGGATGGCTGCACCTATGTAGCATTGTCCACAATCACAGTCTATTTTGTAAATAACACATTTCGGGTTGTTGTTGTTGACGGTGGGTTGTTTTTTCTTCCGTTGGCATGGAGGAGGGTTGTTGAGGCTGGAGGACGCTGAGAAAGGTAGTGTCTATTCCTGCCTGTTGTTTCAGGAGTCGGCTGATTTGGTGTGATGGTTTACCAATGTAGGGAATGGATATCTTGATGGGGGCTGATTCTGGTTTAGATCTTTTGGCAGGAGGTGAAAACGTTGCTTCGATGGTTCTGTTGACTATTTCCAGGTGGGTAGTGGTTGCGTTCTACAAAGACTTTCCTCAGGTGTTCAATTTCTTCCTGTAGGTTTGTTGAGCAGATGTTTTTGGCTCTTCTGGTCAATGTAGAGATGACGCCGGTCTTGAGCTTTAGGGGGTGGTTGGGTTATAGTGGATGTATTGATCCGTATGAGTTGGTTTTCTGTACACGGAGGTCTGGAGTTGGTTGCAGGAGGTGCGGGACACAAGGACATCAAGGAAAGGTAGTTGGTTGTTCTGCTCTGTTTCAATGGTGAATTTGATGCGGGGATGTTGGCTGTTGAGATGGGCGAGGAGCTGCTTTGGATCTT